ATCAATTTAAGATAAAAGCACAGTTAGCAAGATAAGGACAGTTAGCAGGAAGCCTGCCACGGCCATGCGGTTTGAAAGCAATATAAGTGTCTGTGTTTACTTGTTTGGGTCTGGGTGGCTGTGGGACTGGCGGGTGACAGAGGTTTGTCCTGACTGTGGGCGAGGCGGAAAAATCAAGCTACAGGAAGCTAAGGAAAGAATTCCATTTATCATAACACCAAAAAGAATGAGATACAAGTAATCACACTCATAATTAAAAAAAAGAATGAGATACTCAAATTTGTATATTCATTTAAAGTAGAAACAATCCAAATGTCTACTGATGGGTAAGTTGGAAAACACAATGTGTATACAAACAGTGGGTTATTAGTCAGCCTTGTAAAGGAAGGGAATCCTGGTCTAGGAGCAATGTGTATAAACCTTGAAGGCACTGTGCTATGTGAAACTGCACCACAGATAGAAGATGGTCCTGTTTATATCAAATACCTTGAATAGTCCAGCTTCTAGAGAACGAACACAGAGAACTGTTCATCAGGAGCTGGGGGGTGGGTAGAGGATGGGAAGCATTATTGGGTAAGTATGGAGTTTTCAGTATGGGAAGAAGAACCGTGTTCCAGAGAGATGGTGCTGGTGGATGCACAGCCCTGTGAATGCATTTACGACCACTGATGTTCACTTAAAGTGCTGGCAACGGTACATTTTATTTCGTGATGAGTTCACCATGCTAACTCAAATTGTGTTTAGGGGCATATGGTTTCAAAACAGGACACTGAGAGATAGGGCAGTCTATTTTTGTACAAATTTACAAAATCATCACTTGCATTATTTTCTACAAAACTTTGCATGGCTGATTGATTCATTGGTCATTGACTTAGCTATTGAGCATATAGACAATAATCTGTGGTATCATTGTAATTCAGTTTTTGCATCCTGCTGTCTAGAAGCAAAGTGGCCAGACCAGAAAAGGGTCTTTAAAAAAACAAAACAAAACAAGACAAAACCAAAAACAAACAAACAAACAAAACCCAGTAATCCAGTAAATCAAAATCTGTTACTCAGAAAGGAGGACCTGCTTTTCCTCCCCTTTCTATTCTACAATGCATTAAAAAGTCCTAAACCAGAAACAGTTGCACCATAACAAAAGAAACGAGTAATCTGCAGCAGGTGGTTTTAATTGCACCCATCAAACCTGTCACTCCATTGTGCAGAGAGTGGAAAACCAATTAACAACTAACTACAAGCCTAGGTGCCCAGAGTGGGAGGAGGGTCTGTAACTCAAACGGAAGATCAGTAATGGAAGCAGAAGATTCCTCAGCCTGCTAGTGGGTCTCCTGGGTTTGAGAAGACCTCCCTTATAGTACCCAGCTTTCTCAGATAAGTAGTTCTGTAAAACATTCCGGCACTGATAACCACTTTGCTTCTTCCCTGAAGGGGTCTGAATGAAATGGGGGCTCTCTTTCCTCAACCCGAGAGTCCCGTGCTGGGGCCCCTGCTTTGGATGGGTTCTTGTTTGTGGAGGCAAGTCCTTGTGCTAACTGACTGCCCTCATACAGTCCTACAGGCTCCGTTGGTGGCATGCTCACACACGATAACCTGGATGGGCCTGCATGGCTTTGCGCTGGCTGGTTTTGTGTCAACTTGACATGTGTTAGAGTCATTTGAGATGAGAGAACCTCAATTGGGAAAATGCCTCCAGAAGATCAGCCGGAAGCAGGGGAGTCTGCAGGACACTTTCTTAACTAGTGACCAATGCGAGAGGCCCAGCCCTTGTGGGTAGTGCTATCCCTGAGCAGGCGGTCTTGGGTACTATTAGAAAGCAGGTTTGCAGGCTGGGGCAGTGGTGGGTACCTCCACAAAGAACAAATATATCACGGTGTGTACCCTAGGGAGGGAGGTGGAACTAGAGATATGATGGCAGGGACAGGTGAGAGATCAAAGACAGCTCAGATCAACTTGCTGTCTTTGCCCACTAGGATTGGAGGGATGGTGTAGAACAGCCTGGAACTTCGGCAGATGCGGACTCAGTCCCAGAACCTGTTGCCTGACTGCAGGATCCCCCTGGCTCTGGGCAACCATGGAGGCCTGAGATGAGAAAAGTTTCACGTTCTGGATTGAACTCCTCAAAAAAATCACTGTTGCCCATGGTGCCACCGGAGGCCATATTGGTGTCTGTGGCCCATGCTGCTACCTCAGGTGAAGCCTGAGATCCATGTAGACTCCTGGCAAATCGAATCCCAGAATACATCAAAAAGCTCATCCTACCATGATCATCATCCCAGAGATGCAGAGATAGTTCAACACATGAACATCCACTACTACCACTGCCACTGCCACCACCATCACCACCACCACCAGCAGCAAATAACAATCATTGGTCATTTATATTTCTCGATATCAATGGACTCAATTCACCAATAAAAAGACACAGGCTGAAAGAAGGGATGCGAAAACAGGATCCATCCCTCCTGTATGCTGCATACAAGAAACACACCTGCTGCACAGGCCATGAGCCTCGACATGGCCTCAGGTGGTTACACATGTCAGTCACATCAGTGGGGAGCCTTGGGCAGTAAAGCCCGAGGACATCAAGGCCTGAGGCAGCATCACAGACTGTGTGAGTCCCCAAAATTATACAATGGAGAAAAGAAAGCATCTTCAACAAATGGTGCTGGCATAACTGGATGTTGGCATGTAGAAAATAGATCCATACCTATCACCCTGCACAAAACTCAAGCCCAAGCAGATCAAAACCTCAACGTAAATCTAGTTACACTGAACCTGATAGAAGAGAAAATGGGGGAATAGCCTTGAATGCATTGGCACAGGGGACTACTTCCTGAAAAAAAACACCAGTGGTACAGACCTTAAGAATGACAACTAACAAATGGGACCTCATGAAACGAAAAAGCTTTTGTAAGGCAAAGGACACTGTCAACAGGACAAAATGGCAGCCTACAGAATGGGAAAAGATCTTCACCAACCCCACATCTGACAGAGGGCTGATCTCCAAAATATATGAAGATCTCAAGAAACTAGACATAAAAATACCAAACAATCCATTTTAAAATGGGGTACAGACCTAAACAGAGGATTCTCAACAGACAACTCTCAAATGTCAGAGAAACACTTAAAAAAGTGTTCAATATCCTTAGCCATCAGTGAAATGCAAATCAAAAGGACTCTGACATTCTATCTTACACTTGTGAGAATGGCTAAGATCAAAAACATAAATTATAGCTTATGCTGGAGAGGATGTGGAACAAGGGGAACACTCCACTGCTGGTGGGAGTGCAAACTTGTACAGCCACTTTGGAAATCAACATGGTGGTTTCTCAGAAAATTGGGAATCAATCTATCTCAAAATCCAGCTATACCGCCCTTGGGCATATACCCAAAGGATGCTCAATCATATCACAAGGACAATTGCTCAATTATCTTCATAGCAACTTTATTTGTAATAGCCAGAAACTGGAAACAACCTAGATGTTCCTCAACCAAAGAATGGATAGAAAAACGTGGTACATTTACACAATGGAGTATTACTCAGCTGTTAAGAACAATGACATCAGGAAATTTGTAGGCAAATGGATGGAACTAGAAAAAAAAATCATCCTGAGTGAGGTAACCCAGATCCACAAAGACAAACATGGTATATACTCACTCATAATTGGATATTAACTGTAAAGTAAAGGATAACCATGCTACAATCCACAGACCAGAGAGGCTAGGTAACATGAATCTCCCTAGAAGGGGAAATGGAAGAGATCTCATGGGTGGGGATGGGAACTTGAGGGATTGGGTTGGGGCATAGATGGAGGGGGAGAGTGATGAAAGAGATGACTGGAAGGGGGAGGGCTCTTTAGGGACAGGTAGAAACCCGATGTAAGGGAAACTCCCACAAATCTACAAGAACGAGCTCAGCTAAGACTCCTAGCAATAGTGGATCCGTAGCCTGAACTGGTATCTCCTGTGATCAGATTGGTGATTACCCCAACTGTCACCAAAGAGCCTTCCTCCACTAACTGATGGAAACAGATACAGAGACCCACAGCCAAACATTAGGCCAAGCTTGAGGAATCCTGCTGAAGAGAGGGCAGAAGGATTGTAAGCGCCAGAAGGATCAAGGACACCACAAGAAAACCCACAGAAACGACTAACCTGGCTCGTAGCAACTCACAGAGTCTGAACCAAAAACCTGAGAGCCTGCATGCGGCTGACTTAGGCCCTCTACGTACATGTGAGTTGTTGTGTAGCTTGGTCTATTTGTGAGACTCCTAAAAATGGGAGCAGGGCTGTCCCTAATGATTTACCCTGCTCTTGGAAACCTATTCCTCATATTGGATTGCCTTGTCCAGCCTAAATACAAGGAGAAGTATTTAGTCTTACCGCAACTTGATATGCCCTGCTTTGTTGATACCCATGGGAAGCCTGCCCCTTTCTGAGCAGAAACAGAGGAGGAGTGGATTGGTGGTGGTGGTGGTGGGGAACACAGAGAGAGGTGAGGGGAGGGAGTGGGAGAAGAGGAGGGGAAACTGTGGTCAGGATGTAAAGTAAATAAATTAAAAAAAAAAACAAAACAGGTTGAATAAGCCATGGGGAGCAAGTCAGTAAACAGTTCCCCTCCATGGCCTCTGCATCAGCTCTAGCCTCCAGGTTCCCACTCGGTCTGAGTTCCTCCTGTCCTGACTTCCTTCAATGATGAAAAGTGATGTGGAAGTGTAAGCCAAATCAACCTTTTCCTCCCCAAGTTGCTTTTGGTCCCAGGGTTTCATTACAGCAATAGAAAACCCCAACTAAGATATGGCTGAAATTAAAATAAAAAAAAAAAAAGAGAGAACAAATGTGATGCTTCTGCTTTAGAGTCCGACTATTCCTAAGTGCTGGCTGCTAAAGATAGTTTGTCAAAGCAACAAACAAACAAACAAACACCCCACAAACGTGTAGCGTATCCTCTTGTATCCAGTTTGGAGGAAAGGGAAGATTTTGGTCCTCAGAAAGTGTCCAAAGGCCGATTTCTGCACTGGCTCGGGTCCAGCGGTACTCTGAACAACCTGTAAGGCCACCTTGCCCAGTTGTTCTGTTCCTCCTCCTCCTTCTCGTGTTTCATTTATGTAATGCTCTACCTCTTCAGCTCTGTGCTGCTAAAGGTACAGCCACACCCACCTTTCTTTCTTTCATGAGGGCTGAGCACTGTGTGAAGGAAGAGTGTGAGGGGGAAAGACCATGAGAATGGAAAGGCTTCCAAAGTAGGGAGAGCAGCGTGTGTGTGTGTGTGTGTGTGTGTGTGTGTGTGTGTGTGTGTGTCTGTCTGTCTGTCTGTCTGTCTGTCTGTCTGTGTCTGTATCTGTTCATTTTGAGACACAGTATCAAATGTAGCCCTGGCTAGCCTGGGATTCACTCTGTAGACCAGGCTGGCTTTGAACTCACAGAAGTGACCCACTTTGCTGGTATCGTTTCCCATGGAACCACTGGAGAATTCTACCCTACTGCTGTGTTAGGCATGGAACAACTGGTCTCCCAGACCTCACTCTACTGGGCATTGATATGGACACACCTTTGCTATGAGACTCTTATTCTCTTTACACATCTGTTGTGTGATTCAATTTTTAAATAGCATAAACAAGTATAGTCTCTCTGTTACTGTCAGGAAGACACCTGTGTACAGAGCAATCTAAGTCTAAACAAAATACTCCTAAGAAGCATTTTCCTGCCCTTCCATCTCTCTTTATAGTTCTTTTTCTGCTAACCAAACAAACAAACCGCAATTTTTAGCCATCACTTTTCAAGTACTGTTCAGTGACATTGTCTTCTCATTACAAACAGAAGACAAAACCCAGATATAGCTGCCTATAATAACAAAGCTGGATAATCAATGAATGTTCTTGGAATGTAAAAGCCACCTTAAGTTTTACTATTTGTCATTTAAAAAACAAGCTAGAAATAACACCAGACTTCAATTCATCTCAATACATACTCAGAATCACTTAATCATCTACTGCACGCCGACTTTAGATGTGGACGAGCTCCGCTGACAGACTTTGTCATCACAAAGCCCCTGGTAAAGCAGTCAGCTTAGAAAGTTCCCTCTCACCTGCTGGCAATGGTCAGGAGGCTGGGAGGACAATAATAGCCACTGGAAGCCTGCTCGAAGTTTCTCAGGACTGTGTCAATTTTGTAACAAAATTGGCCATGTCTCTCCCATCCCTTCAAAGAAGAAAGAGACACAATCTGATTTAGTTAAATGCCAAGAGACCTCTTCCCGGCTTGCATTGCTCTCTCCTCTGACTTGATAGAATTTTTGTTTTCACATCACTTTTGTATTTATTCTGTCTGGAATCACCAGCAGCTACAGCCACTTACACATTTAGTCTTGATTTCTTATTTTACAGTTCAAAAAAAATGTAACCAACTTAAAGACTTAAACACAACTGAAAATAAAGTGGGGGGACACTGTAAAAACAAACAAACAAACAAATAAACAAACACACAAAGGACAGTCACTCAAGAGTTACCGTTCTTTCCTTTCTTCAGGCTCACAGAATTTCTTTCAAATGGCTGTGACGTTTGGGTAAAGACAGAGAATTGGCCATGGAGGGAGGACGCTTGTGTGTTTGAATTCTGGCTTCCCCCTAAGCCACTTCATTTGTAGATAATGAATGCATCTTAAGAAACACGCTTAATCTCTCCACATCTAGTTTTCTCATCTATGAGGTGGGGGTAAGAGCAGTATTCGTGCTTGTCCCAAGGATCAAAGGAGAAAACACAGGAGAGGCCTTGAGCAGAGCCAGCGAACTTGGAGGGGCAGTGAAGCCAGGCCTCCAGGTAGTGGGGAGCGTTACGGAATTGTCAGTTCAGTTTCACATCAGCTGTTTGGGGTTCTTAGGGACTTAAGTAGAGTTACTGCCCAGTGGATCAGCTGGGCCCGGACTGAAGGTATCCAGGGTGTTTTTTCATGGTTGCTGCTGTTGTTTTGAGTCATGGTAGCCCACACTTGCCTAGCCTGGAACCCCCTAAGTTGCTTGGGTTAGCCTCAAACTTGTGATCCTTTTGCCTTAACTTCTTGGGTGTTAGGACTTAGAGAGCCATTGAGTTCAGCTAAAGCAACTGTGTTTTGCTCCCCCATCCCACCTCCGGCCCTGTGCCGAGGATGGAAGCCAGACTCTTCAAATGCTTGCAACTGAGCTCCATCGGAAGGCCCTAGGATGGTCTTGTTTGGATCATGTTTCTAAGTAGAAAATGGCTCCCTTATACGGAGACTCATATATGGTTAAGATTTTTCCCCGAATTAGGTGGTTGGCCTTTGGGGGATATAAGAATGTAAGTTTGGCCACTCAGATAAAGATGATAATTTGTAGGTCTGTGGCTTAGCCATGGGAGCAAGGTCGGGTGGGTCTGTCCCTTAAAGTCGTACGGTACAGTGGCTGCCCGCTTATTCTAGTTCACCTGACTTCATTTCTGCTCCTGATATCACTGAGTCACACGCCTCCATGTGTCCATTTTTACTTATTCACCAGTTTAAAGTGCTCATCATTTCCTGTCATTCCAGGGATAACCAGCTTTTGATCAGACACAAGATGATTTCTAGGGTATTTCTTGGAAAAGGTTTTAGTTCTGTAGTTAATTTCAGAACACTGTAGAAATTGGCTAATTCAGTTAAAAAAACACCCCAGGGAATGAGCCAATCACAGAGCTCCTGCATCCACCTCCGGTCTGGTCTGCTCTCCCCCTTCACTCTGTCCTGGGGCCTCAGTGTACAAGCTCTGGACTGAGGCCCCTCAAGTATCACTGCTCTTGGAAGGATGGGGAAGAGCGGCTGACGTTTGACCTTTCTGACAAAGCATTTCTTATTTCTTAGTAGCTTTTGCGTAGTGTGGGGCCCAGGGCTGCTTGGCTACACTGCTGCCATGACAGGCTGGATAGAAACCAGCTAGAGAGTAGGCCCGAGTTTCGGTTTACTCTAAGGTAACACCCAGTTCTAGAAAAAGCCATAAACTAGTACCACCCCGGAACAGGCCAATCAGCATCCAAGGCAAAAATACCTAACATTCCAACCATTATAGATAAGATCACCAGATGTCCCTTAGCCCAGCACACACCTATTCTCTTTGGCCAAGACACCCCTAGACAAATGTCAGCCAGTTAGGGTCCTGAACCCTGGAAATCCCCTCACCCCAACCTCTGCTATGATAAAAACCCCACCCTGACTGGGCTCAGGGCTCTGCTCTCACTGCTGTGCTACACAGATGCAGAATCCAAGCTTGAACTTGAATAAAGGCTCTTTCTTTACTTTTGCGTATGGATTCAGTCTCTAGGGTGGCCTTTGAGGGGTCCCCTCAATCTGGGCATAACAGATGGAAGGATTGCTCACACTGTCCAACACCCCAAAATGACTCAGTGGGAAATAAAAATCACTCTTTTCTCTTTGAGGTTATCAAGGTTATTTATTTATTTTTAGACAAGGGCTCACTATATAGCACAGGCTAGCCCGAAGCTTGCTGTGGAGTGCAGGCTGGTCTCAAGTTCATGATCTTCCCCAGTCTCTTGAGTATTGGCATTATAGTACATGCCTGGCTTCAGCACTCATGCTATGAATTAACTACACATGTATGGTTATCTAGAGAGTTTTACTGAAGCAACTGCTGTGGAATACTTGTTTAACTAGGCAAAGATGTGTTACATTTGCTCATGCGGCATTTGTTTAACTGCGTAAAGATGTAGTGCATGTGCATTAATTAAATAAAATTAACCTGGGCTCAGAGAGGCTGGGTTAGGAAGTAGTTGACAGGAAGTAGCAGGGAGGAGCATAGAGTGGGGTTTTTAGTTGGGGTAGCGTGGAAGCAGAGAGGCTTCTTGGACACCAGTGAAGAGGGGAAGTTCCGTTTGCTGCTCTAACTCTCTGAGCTGGTAGGTTTTCACCCTAGCCTTTGAATCTCAAGTTTTATTGGGATGATAGAGATTTAGTTACAGCTGTGTTAGCAGCAGCAACAGAGCCATTGTCTCGGGGAACAGAATTCCCCCAGGCTACGGCCTTTGAAGCCCTGCGCTAGAGCTTTCAAGTGTAGCCATTGTGATGAAGGTAAGGTAGCAGCGATGAGCTAAAAGAAAAGAGCATCGGGGAACCATTTTTATAGACTGATACAAAATAAAATGAATGGGAAGTTTGCTGTAAACCTCAAGAATCATCTCTGGACATGAAACCTTTAAATCCTGGTGATCCCGGCTGGAAGAGGAAGCTGAAAAGAGGCGTGCAAAGGGCACCTTGGGTACTTGTGCTATGCTCTCACAGCCCCGCTGGCTTGTCTTGAAAGCCACAGAAAGGTAGATTTTAGGTCGGTGGGCAGCTAGGACTGACTCAGGAATTGCAATCCTTGGATGGAATATCTAGTGGTGTGTCAGCCGTGGCTGGAGGGGGCAGGGTCGCTCATGTGTATACACATTGATTAACAAGGAAAGCAGAGCTTCTGCAGAAATGGATCACTCCTCAGTTGGACTGTCAATGGGTGGCTTAGGGGAGAAAATTAGTAGAATTTCATAAAACAATGCCTGTATCATTCTAGAATACAGCCAGCCAGAGAGAGAGAGAGAGAGAGAGAGAGAGAGAGAGAGAGAGAGAGAGAGAGAGAGAACAAGAAGCGGCTGGGCAAAGAGAGACAGAGGAACAGATGCTAACACTGACGGATTTCACAAAACTTTACTGCAAAATACTAAATGCGTTAAAGAAACTTGAAGCACGATATTCTGCCTTTTAGATTTAAAGCTAAAGTAATAGCGCTTATTTAAAGCATGTAAAAACACCTTGTCGCTTACACTAAACACAGCTTTACCGTCTTTTCCCCAAGTAACAAATATGCCATGCGCACACTTCCCTCCTCGATGTATTCATGACGATATTTAAGGCTGAGAAGGGCGAAAGGAAGGCAGGGTCCTGGCAGCAGATGCTTGGACCCTGTCTCCAAAGAAGGAAAAATGCGCCCACACTCCCTGGCATCCCACTCGAGAACTGACTGTGAGGACCACATGTGAGATGGGGTCAAGCGTTCACCATGCTTTTTATAGAAGGAATAATGGGACTGTTTATACTTTTTTTTGGTGTTTTTTTTTTTTTTTTTTTTTTTTTTTGAGACAGCATTTCTCTGTGTAACAGTCCTAGATGTCCTGGAACTCGCTTTGTAGAACAGATTGGTCTTGAACTTACAGATACCTGCCTGCCTCTGTCTCTGGAGTGCTGGGATTAAGGCGTGTGCCACCATGTCCGACTGATCACTTACATTTGTATCTTTTTTTTTTTTTTTTTAAGTTGTTTTGGGTCAAATTACACAGTAAGACATCCTTCTGAGGGCTAGAAGGCTTTCTGTGCCCCCGCTGACATCTGACTAGTCAGGGGGAGATTCCCACTCAGAGGGATCCCCTTTGATCCACGGTGGGCACATCCTTCTAGTTCTGAAGTCCTGGGACCCTGTTGCAGCGTTGGCCATACTTACTTCGTGACACTCTGATTCCTCATCAGCAAGGACCTGCCCTGCTCTTTGGCAAATGTAGAAGAGTGTTTCTTCGCAGGCTTTCACTTTCCAGCGTCCTTCCTAACGGGAAAAGTGACACAGGATGAGCGAGTGGACTCTGGGGATGTTGATGGGCAGCACGTTAGTCATGAGCCGAGCTGTGGACAGCAAGTGTTCCCAGTGGGGTGGCGGTCCAGAACCCTGCCTGGTCACACAAAAGCCTGGTGACGACTGCTCTCTGCCTGTGACTGCGGGAATGCAGTCCAGAGCCGGGTGGACCTGAGTGAGGAGGAATTTGGTTGCTTCTGGAAATATCCGGAAGCTACCACCAGTCACCCTCAGGATCAAAATTCATGTTCCACTCCAATGTCCTTCCTCACTCTGCTTTCTCTTTAATTAATCAAATATTTTTATGTTTTTGAGAGTGGGTCTCACTGTGCAGTTCCAGGCTGGCCTAGAACTCACTGTACAGCTTCCATTTGCTTCAGTCCAGCAATCTTTCTGCTACAGCTTCCCAAGCACTAGGGCTAGAAGTATAGACAGGCTCAGACCCAGCTTTCTTTCCTTCCTTCCTGCCCCCCCTCCTTCTCCCCTTCCCTTTCTTCCTTTTTTGATGTGTGTGCGCTCATGTCTATGCAGATATGTGTGTGTGTGTGTGGGGGGGGTGAGCGTGTGTGTGTGTGTGTGTGTGTGTGTGTGTGTGTGTGTGTGTGTGTGTGTGTAAACCAGAAGTTGACATCGAACGCCATTCTCACTTGATCTTAGCCAAAAGGCCAAGAAGCGATCCAACGCCATTTTCAACTGCTCTCCACTTTATTTTTTGAGACAAGGTCTCTCCTTGAGCCTGGAGCTAACCCACTTGCCAGCTTGCTCTAGGAATCTGCCTGTGTCCTCCCTCCTCCCCAGGTTTCACATGTGCCTTAGAGATCCAAACTCAGGTCCTCACGCTTGTTGAGGGTACTTTCTATCCACCGAAGCATCTCCCCAGCCCAGCTTCCTGCTCATATACAGACACCTTTAGGTTTTCTCTTACTTTTGCCTAAACGGTGGTTCTCAACCTCTGGTGGTTGAATGACCCTCCTACCCATATCAGATTTCCCGTATTTCAGATATTTACATTATGATTCATAACAGTAGCAAAATTACAGTTTTGAAGTAGCAATGAAAATAAATTTTATGGTTAGGGGTTACCACAGCATGAGGAACTGTATTACAAAGGGTTGCAGCCTTAAGAAGGATGAGAACCACTGGCCTAAGGCAACTCTCAGATCTTTTACTGCTATTGATAAAATAGCTAACAGACAGCCAGGCAGTGGTGGCACATGCCTTTAATCCCAGCACTCGGGAGGCAAAGGCAGGCGGATCTCTGTGAGTTCGAGGCCAGCCTGGTCTCCAAAGTGAGTTCCAAGAAAGGCGCAAAGCTACACAGAGAAACCCTGTCTCAAAAAACAAAAACAAACAAACAAACAAAAAAAATAGCTAACAGGCTAAATATTATTTTCCCACATTACTTTTAAATCTTAACACAAAACAGATCCTTAGATGAAAAATACTCAGTTCAAACTTCAGGTGGTATTTTGATATTTGGGATTTTAGGGGAATATGGAATCCTTCAATGGCCTTCAGGGAAATACCACACTGACATTTTCACTAGTAAGAGCAGCACTGTGTGTCTCCCCCATGGAATGTTCCAGAACATTATCATGCTATAGGACAGTGTTAGGCATATTGCAGGTGCTTTGTAGCTGTTGGGAGGATGAGTGAATGAATAGTTCTCACCTTCAAATTTTGGTGATAGCACTATTTAAGTAAAATTAATGATAACAATTATTTATTAATATAATAATTATTATATTCATACTGAGATCTGCTTGATGGAAGTAAATGTTAATTTCAATGTTCCATATACTTGTTGTCTAAGGAGTTAATAAGCTACAAAAAAGGGGTCCTACAAAATCTCTCAGAACAGCACTGTTCTGATCCATGCAACAATATTGTCTTAATTACGGCTACTACAACTATGATGAAATACCATGACCAGGAGCAACTTGAGGAGGAAAGGGTTTATTTGGCTCACACTTCCACATCACTGTTCATCATCAAGGAAGTCAGGACAGGAACTAAACAGGGCAGGAACCTGGAGGCGGGAGATGATGCAGAGGCCATGGAGGTGTTTACTGGCTTGCTCATGGTGGCTTGCTCAGCCTGCTTTCTTATAGAACCCAGGACCACAGCCCAGGGGTGGCCCCACCCACAATGGGCTTGGCCCTCTTCTATCAATCATTATTTAAGGAAATGCCCTACAGACTTGCTCACAACCTGATCTTTTGGAGGCATCTTCTCAGTTGAGGTTCCTTCCTCTCAGATGACTCTAGTTTGTGTCAAGTTGACATAAAAGACTAGCCAGCACTAATATCAGTATCTGTCTTTGTTTTCTTAAACACCTATTCAGAAATTAGAGAACATAATTAAAATAAGCCAGACACAATGACAACTATGCCATGTTTCTCTCATATGTGGGACCTAGGCTTTATACACACACACACACACACACACACTCAGGCATGTGCTCATTCATGAGATGGGGGCTGTTGGGGAAGAGGGAGAGAACCAATGACAGGAGGAGGGAGATTGAAGGGTAAAGAGGGCTGAATATGGCCAAAATTTATGATATGCTTGAACAAAAATGTCATTATAACCCCATTACCGTGTACAATGAAGATACACTAATTAAAACAATCCCTATCCAAATGTTAGCTTTCGTTCTATAAATATGATAAGTGAAATGGTCACACCAGGCAATAGGAAATGGAGGTCATCTTAATTATATACAAAAACCAGTGACTCAAGAAACCATCAGCTCCTGTAACTGTGCTGGGTTTCTGCAGAGCTGGATCCACGACAGACATCTAAAGAGCCCACCGCTGCTTCCTCCTCGAATGCCACTCAGACACACATTGGTAGCGTGTGTAATTATGAATGCACATGTTTCTGCAAGCCTCAAAAGATACAAAAGTGAAACATGTCACAAAAGTAAGTGCTTTGAAATTTTTTCATGTTTGGTTGGCACAATTACTTTGTCAAGCTACTTAAGTAGCATTTAATGAGCTGTTTCTTGCGGGATCCTGACACAGCATCATGTGGCTGGAAAGAATGGGGACACCTATCAAGTCCTCCAGCCTCCTTAAACCCAGCCAGTGCTTCCAACAGCTATGTGAGCAGAGAGAGGATGTTTGTGTAACGTGTTTAATCAACTATTCAGATGGTTTGGACTTCAACTAATTCTGCATAATCTGGTGTCTCAGAGAAGTGGGGGATGGGCACACAGGAATATGCAGCGTGCTAAAGTCACTGGCTCCATTCCATCCCTGTGAGGCTGAGATTTGCCATTGATCCTTAGTCTTCAAAGAGGTTTGCACAACCGTTTTCGTCTTAATCAGCTAATGGAGCTTTGAAACTATGGCTCTCCAGTGCCCTCCAGCCTTTATCTTCTTCATCTCTGCACCAGTATGGTTGGCCCCACCGTCTGCCAAATGGTATTTGTTCAAGTAAAAAAACTTGCTTCTGACCCTCCATATTTAATTTAGTTAACCATGAATCTTGTTATTTGAAACACCATGACCTCTTCTCTTCTCTTCCCTTCTCTTCCCTTCTCCCGTCCCCTCCCCTCTCCCCTCCCCTCTCCTCTCCTCCCCTCTCCTCTCCCCT